ATTATACTGACTACTAAGTACAATTTTCCATTGACAGTTAGTATCACTGAAACTGGAGCTGAAGCTGATGTGTCTGTAATAAACTGCATCATTCACATCGTCCTTGCAGTTCTGCAGACTGGAGTCTTCTTCCTATTTGTCTGCTGTGGAGCAGTTTGTGGATTTTGGCATTCTGTTTTAGATCGTAAGCCTTGAATATGTGAAGACTTTCATTTATTTTGGTGCACTCGTACACCTAAACATATGGGGTTTTTTTAATTCTCTTTGTCTTTGTAGTAGAGAAAGAGTTTTACAGTTAATATTTTGTGCGGAGGAGACACTAAACCCTCTGGGGTTGAAGGAAGAGCATCCAGTATGAAATTCTGCCAAATCAAACATACGGAGGTCCCCGCTGGGAAGGAGGGAGCAGCTAAAAGTAGCAATAGCTGTATTTTGTGCAGATATCTCAGGGATTTCTGGAAATTGTGCTTAAACACCAGCAGCTTTCCAGTGGTCAGAATTCTCATGATGGGACAAAAACAAGAAATCAGCTGATATTTTAGTAAAAAAAGAACACCTAAGGTGGAGGTTCAGGTTGACGGGTGGCTCCACGAACCTTTAATTAGCAGTGTTGCTCCATCTTCCAATGACAAAGCCATGCATCCCTAACTGTATTAATCAATGTCTGGTAACCCTAACCAAAGGCCGGTGTACAGCACAGTGATCAGGCCTGTAAAGGTGACACTTCTTCAGCCTGTTTCCACTGCACTGGACTCAAAGGCTCTGATAACTGGTAACAGCTTCAGTCACACTGTAAATTCCACACATAATCCCAACAACAGAAGCAGAAGCAAGTTAAGCCATGCTAGGTTTTGAAGTTCTGGTTACAGCTGGGTGAGCTTTGTCATTGGAAGGTGAGTTCACCTTCGAGTGACATGTTGCCTCCAGCTTCTACCAAACTTCACCGAGACTACAATGTACCAGCTACCATGTCAGAATAGCATGGCTTCATGCCAACCAATGTGCCCATCCACAGTGTCTACAAGCAAGTATACACCTCTACTACTACCTCTATTACACATCTTTGAAACTGAAGGATGATTTGTCCTGTTAGTGACAGTAACTGTGGTTTCCAGGTGGTTGCTGATTGTTGTCAAATAACTGGTGGTGATTGGTTTGAGAGGAGAAACCCTGCCTTACAGTTTTATAGAGTTTCTTAGAAGTTCTTACCCTGGAGTACCCTTTTCCCCCCCTGTGCAGTGCGTGCTTTAGTGATGTTTAACCAGAGGCCCTTTTAGCAGATTTGAGATTACATATCATTATCATGTACTCAGTTGACCTACTCGTTTGTGAGGTCCCAGTTTGAAGGCTCGAGATGAAAGTTTCCACTGTTGACATGTTACCATGTCAAACGACATGTGAGGAGAACGGGGTGGGGGAGACTATGAAAGTGAACTCTCATTGGCTAATGATTTAGGACTGACAGTTAACCAGTGCGTGTATCCCAGATAAACTGTTCTGAAACATCAAACGACCAAAATTTACAAAAGTGACTTTTTGTTTTATTCAGTATGACCTAAAATAAATTATTGAGCATAAAATCAGAGAAGTGATTGCAGAGGGTGTAGATTTGTTTTGCATATATCACCCCCTGTGGCTACAGTCTTCAGACCCAGAAGCTCCGCCCACCTATGATACTGTTTATAAATTTTGGTGTTAGAAATTGATGGCTGCATCTGCCAGTTATTGCATTTGTTGCAGTTACTTCTCACATGGCCTCTGATGACTGTGGTTCCAACTTTAGGATCAGCAGCTTTATGGTGACAGTGAGGTAAAAAAGGTCCCACTAGGGTGGTCCCTGTGACAGGAAGTGCACAAAGTTCTGGTCCTCTTTTCCTGGAATGGAAACAGTTTCTGTAATTCTAATTCTTCAGTGGAGCAAGAATGAAGACCAGGGTTTGCGATTCTGGGACCTTTACTGGTTGGATTTGTTCGGCTTAAGATAAAGAGCAGATGACTCAGTTTGTTCCTCCTCATGAGGATTGTCCCTGCTTTTTGGACCATTTTTATTCATTTTTATTTCTTTCTGTTTAATTCTTTTGCTGCACAGAGCACAGTATTTGGATGAATCAGAGCTCATGTGTCTGTTTTCCCATCTCTCAGTCCAAAGCTGCAGCGTTGATCACTGTGATGGTCGTCTGAACTCAACCGGGCCTCAGGGTCAATGGTGCTTCCCTTTAAGTTCAGCCTGCAGACATCCTTGTAGCACAGATATGAGTCTGCATCCAGTCCACATACAGCACAGCACATCGTGGCCAGCATTTCAGCTGTAATGTCTGAGTGGGTGCAGAGTGCTGCAGTGGATCATTCTTATGAAGACATGTGTGTTCAGAGCTTAGTGTTTTCATTTGAAGTTCACAGACTGCCAAGATGGAAGCGTTAAGAAGGCAAACAGATGGAAAGTAAACTCTGGCGTGTTAAATGTGGCTTTGAGAAACCGGCTGGAAGGATAAAGAGCCGAGGTGAAAGCAGATCATCACAGGAAGGATGAGTTCTTCTAAAAGTCAGAAAACCAAACTTAAAAACGGCAACACAAACAAAGATCATGACCAAAAATCAGTCTTTCTGAATTTCTGTTCAGTGTTTCCCACAACCCGTGGACCTCAGTTGGAAAACACTACATCAGGTCACAGTGATGGTCTGCTCAGACCCAAGTTTTCATCAAGTTTCATGAGGTGCAGAGTCCCACCTAAACCTAACCCACTAGCTGACAGTAAGGAGAACCACTGAGCAGAAGTGAGAGGAAACAGGGTTTTTTAAAAAAAAAAAGAAAAAAAAAGAAAAGTGGAGCAATGTTCAAATCACAGAGGTCCAAATGGGACGTGACCTCTGGCTTCCTGTAACCTGTAACTAAATTCACTTTCACCCTCATAGCAGCGATCTGCTGAAGGCTACCGCTGAAGAACGGTGGATGGATGGATGGTTTATTTTCCTGTCTCCATTCTTCAACCAACCCTTTTATGCCAGAGTGCCTGCAGAAGCATTCTGAGCACCTGTAAATGCTCTACGACCACAGGAGACCAACCCTGAGTCAGATGATCCAATTTCACGGCACCTGTACTGCACGTTTAACATAGTGTGACAGTATGAATTCACCCTGCAGCCCTCCATCAGGTGCAGAGAGCTGCAGACGGCTACCTGTCAGCACTTTCAAAGCCTCTTTCTAAAGACCTGCGATGTCAGCGTGCATGTTTGGAGTGGGCCTGAATGCTCTGTGGACAGCCGGCAGTGCAGATGGAGTTACATCTGAAAAACAGGCAGATAAAGAGAGAAAGGGATCGGCAGGAATGTGATACTGCTGTGCGCTGCGTCTCTGTTGATGCTGTATATCGCCTCATGCATACTGTTCTGAATTTGCTTTGTGAATGGTGTCTTTTCCCCAAAGCTCGTGAATACAGCGATCATTTTTAGCTCTTTTAAAGGAAGCAGACGTGCAGAGGCGTCCGGCATCGGAAGATGTCCATATGATAGCAAATCATCTGCACGCTTTAATGATCAGGATAAATAAGCCTGTGCGCGTGCACATGGATGCCTATTTGTGGCTCTGCGCATGTATATTTCAGGGAAACGATAATGATCCGGCCACTTACGATGATTTCCCCGACGCTGAAAAGAATTTTCTTCCTCCTTGCTGAGCGATAAGATCTGATTGGCTCACCCACCCAGGCAGCGGGAGGAGATATGCTAATGAAGCACTGACAAAGAAGCTGATGGAGGCCGGAGATAAATGCTGGCATGTGTGTGTTTGAGGACAAATAAGTGTGCATCCTTGTCATCATCAGCACTCTGCATTTTAATGAAGGTGGAGCTCGATTTAACAACCCGAGGAGGCTGAAACGTGGAGGAGCTGCTTCCTTTAACGATCTCACAGAAGCAGTGGTGCAAACACCACATTTTACTTCAGGTTTTGACCATCTGCTTTAATTATTGATGATCTGTTTCTGAGGAATCTGTTGTTTCCACTCAGTTTGACAGACATCTGCAGAGAACCCGAGAGCCTTTGAAAACACTGACTGTAATTTTTACCTCTGAATTAAAGCTGAAGTGTGCATGCTGCATTTCAAACCTCTGTGGGGTCCAGGTATTTATGGACCTGACTCTGAGTACTTTTTGGAACTAAATCCTTTTGTTTTAAGCAAGTGAATCATTATAAGATTGGGGAAACCTGTAGCCAGCTGAGACTGAAGAAGTCACTTGGATGAGTGACAAAATGTTTCTCCCACTGAAAACGCTACGTCCAGATGAACAGAATCAACTTTTGGGGATTTACTTACCTGGATGATTGAGCATATGCATCAAAACCTCAGTATAAGTACAAAAATCATTATCATTATTAGTCTGTGGTCTGTACTGTGATACAGGGTTTGGACTTTAGGGAGGTTTAACCCTGGGTTCACAGCGGTTACACCATGATTAAGCCCCATGCACTGGCCAGTCAGTTCTGTGGAAAATGGCGCCATCATTTATTGAAAATATTGTGGAGGTCTTTGCGTGCACCATGAGAGAATCTGAGAGTTTTTACAGATCAACTAAAGCCTTCAGCTTTCTCTGACAAGCTTCTGCACAATATTACAGATGAAGACTCTCAGCAGAGGGAGATCACACTTCAAATTCCTGCAGGTCTCAGTCCAGCACCATGGCTTGATTTTTCTATTTAAACTCATCAGAAAGCACCTTGTTCACTCACACATTGTATTACTGATCTGGATGGCTGGATGGATGGATGAATGGATGGATGAATGGATGGATGGATCTTATTCAATACTCAGCCTGATACTTTCTCACAGTGAGCTCTTGTTTTACAGGATGGAGGACAGAAGTGCATCCCCTCTGATGACTTCGAGTGCGAGGAGGTGAGCAGCTCTGATCAAAAACGATGGTTGAAGTAAAGGGTGGAGGGGTCTCCATCTCCCCCATCACTTGGACCAGCTGATGTGGTGTTCAGGTTGTTTATATGACGCTGACGTCCATCATCAGATCAGACAATGAGATGAAAAATGAACAGATGATTTTTATCAGACACAGACAGCTTAGAGCCCTTTCACTAAAATCATCTGAGCAAGTTCATTCTGGACAGACCTGAGAGCACCCCTTATGGAACAGGAAGTCCAGACAATGAAAGTTCTTGATTATACTAAACCAGGGGTGTCAAACTCCAGTCCTCAAGGGCCGGTGTCCTGAAACTTTTAAATGTGTCCCTGCTGCAACCTTTTATAAAATTAGGTCATTAGCGAGACTCAATAGAACTTGACTGCATGCTGAGGTGGCGACCCCTATCCTTTCTCAAGTAATTTTAAATAAATGCAAGTAAATGTAAGTGTTTGGAAATTTTTACTTCTAAAAGTACTTTTATTGCACCTTGTGCTTTCACTCATGAGCTGCTGTAACATGAATTAAATGGCTGAATTGCCACCTCACCAGCCCTCAAGAACTGAACTTTGACACCTGTTTACTAGACGTTTTCTGATTGTGTGTCTGAGAGGGCCACTATTACATCACAGAGAAAGCTTTTATTATTGGTCAACATAATGGAAAAAAGTAAACTTAAGTGGTGTTTTATTACAGCATGGGCTTTTTGGTCGAGTGAGATTATGAGGAGATCATTCTGAGGTGAGATGTGATCTTGAGGAAAGGCTGTTAAAGGATGGGTGAAACTGCCTCTGGCTATGAGGTCAGGAAACTCTTTCCCAATGAGCTTATGGTGTCAGTCGCTGCTTTCAGGCCTGATTTAAGCACCATGTCCATTTTGGAGTTTCAGGTCCTGTTACTCAGAAAGGACCAGAAAACAGGTAAGGGTTTAGGGCGGGGCTACCTGTGACTGACCGTATGAGTGTAGTGTCTGTAGTCTTTTAGAAACGGTGTATGATGGGATGCTGTTTGTACTCAGCTCTCAGTTTCACAGCTGGCGCATTAAAAGGCGAGCAGTAGAAGTTTTCAGTGTTTTCGCCCACTCTCATTTCTAAGAGTTTGCTGCCAGACTTCCTGTGTAAGCCTCCCTGTGGCCGGTTCACTGAGTGTCCTCCATCTGTTTTCGGGTTAAAGATTCACAGCTGAACTGTAAAGTGTAGTGTGAGGAAAAAAATTGAGGCTCCCTCCAATAAGCTGCTCTGTATTGATACTTGATCACCACACTAATATCTTCATCAGCAGCTGTTACCACCCCGGGTTGGAGAGGAGAGTCACATGACAGATGGAGAACATGGGAGCACTTTGTTGAATTTATTGATATATTATTGCCAAACCTGAAGCTGGAGATGAACTTCCAACATGAAATATGCATGAATAAGAAGCGGCAGAGAGTGTGGCGGCAAAGAAAAGGAGCAGCTGCGCCTCGGTGGAGATCTGTCTGTAAAACAGAGAGACACAAAATGAATTACCTGCTGAAACTCAAGCAAGAGAGTTAGACTCGGATATTTAGCAGCCCATAAAAGCTCAGCTCTGTGACTCACTTTACCTTCCTGCAGACACCTCTCCTGCTCGGCCTCCACACACCATCTGTGCTGAGGGCGGCGACCACAGTAGGATACTGCTCCTCCCGCAACAAAATAAAAATAAAGAATAAAAGTGCAGCGATGTTACAAATGTGCAATACCACAGATTTTACGCTTTATGTTTCTTCTTCAGCTGCATTTTCAGAGGTTCACGCTCCGAGTTGCTTGCTCTGGTTAAGTGACGCCACCATCTACAGCTGACAGTTACAAAAGAAATAAATCAATTATTGATAGCAAAATTCAATTTGGGATATCTGAGAGTTTGACATGCAGTCAAGATTAAATGGTACTCATCTGAAAAAGTAAGAAATTATATACTGATGAAGAATTAATATTTAATTGTAGAAAACTTTATCTGAAGCCAGATATGAGGTATGAGGCATTCTAACACCGCCCACAACTGAACCCGCTCGATAGAAAAGCTTTGTTTCAGAAATCTGCAGTCACGAGTGGCACACGAATTTTGGATTTATAATATTAGTACTGAAGAATGAAATGTGGCTGTCTGTAATTAGAAAAGGAGCTGGTCAGAGGGACTTCATACAAACTTTCATGGATATATTCACAGGTATATTGATTTCCAGCTAACAAGCAGCTTCATTGTTTGTAAGATTTTCAGGACACCACAGAATGAGGCGTTACAAACACTTGTGCACTAATGCTCGTGCCTTTGCCCCCCCCCTCTGTGCTCAGGCTCTGTTGGCCCAGGGCTCGATAGACTCTCAGGACTCTGCAGGGCCCAGAAGCAGCAGCCGGCCATCAGCCCCACTCCTCCACCTCCTCCCTGTGACTGTGTGTGTGTCCATCCTGCCAGCATTCCTGTTCCACGTCTCATAAATGTGAACTAGCATACACACACATTTACACACACACACACACACATACACACACATTTACACACACACACACACACACACACA